GACTATATGAAAGACTATAGTCATAAAAGACTACAGTCTGTTTAGACTTCAAAGGCCCAATTAGTTCTACTGGAACGATTTCTTCTTCGTGAAATATATAAATTCAATTGAATTTCTCTAAGAAGATTCTTTCTTTTCTTTTTCTTGCAGATTGTTTCTCCTACGAACTGAGTGATGAATGTATTTCTATAAATGGAACTTACTATCTGAGGACATGTTACAATGCCACTTATGCCGAGGAACATAATATAACGGAAATGGCCTTACATGCCTTAAAAAAGCCGCCAGCGGAAGAATATTTTACGTAAGTTGAAAAATGTTTTAGATATTTCAAATTTGGTCAAATCGAATCAAATTTTCAGAGTTGAACTACTATATTAAACTTTACAATAGTTAATCCCCAACATTTTCAAAATATTATCCTTAAAAATATCGTAATCTTCTTAAAATTGTATTTCATTTAATAGCAATTATGTTCTGGGCTTATCCTCGGGCATTGAAGAAACTGGTGGAGTAAAACTTTCCCTAGCCGCTTGTCTACTTTGTGCTTGGGTCATTGTTTTCTTATGCCTCTGCAAAGGTGTGCAATCTTCAGGCAAAGTCGTATACTTTACAGCTCTCTTCCCATATGTGGTCTTAGTCATATTATTTTTTAGAGGTGTAACTCTACCAGGAGCCGGTACGGGCATTTTATTTTATTTAACACCAGATTGGAAGCAATTAGCTAATGCCCAGGTAAAGATCTTAAAAAATAAAACAATATAGGAATAACTTTATCACTTACGTTCTTTCTAAGGTCTGGGGTGATGCCGCAGTACAAATCTTTTTTGCCTTAAGTCCAGCCTGGGGTGGTTTGATAACCTTATCTTCTTATAATAAATTTTCCAATAATTGTTACAAGTAGGTTCCGAAACATTGATGCAAAAATGAAATCTCTTTTAATAATAATTTTTTCGAAAACAAAAACTTTCAGAGATTCTTTAATAGTGGCTTTTTGCAATATAGCCACCTCTTTCTTTGCCGGTTTGGTTATATTTTCCATAATTGGCTTTCTGGCCCACGAACTAGATGTAGAGGTGAAAAAGGTGGTAGATCAAGGTGCCGGTTTAGCCTTTATCGTATATCCCGAAGTGGTAACACGTCTGCCGGTATCACCCGTTTGGTCGGTATTATTTTTTGTTATGCTCTTAACTTTGGGTTTGGACTCACAGGTAAGTGTGTTCTGAATTCCTTAAAAAAATCGTTTTAAATTGTTCCTTTTTTACAGTTTGCTTTAATGGAAACCGTTACAACTGCCATTTTGGATAAATTTCCGAATTTAAGACAATATAAAACTTGGGTTGTGCTTTTTGTGGGTATTTTTGGTTATATAGGTGGCTTGGGTTTTACCACAAATGTAAGTTCGGAAATAACTTTAATATTTTTGAGAACCTGTTTTCGATTTTCAATATTTTCTCTTATTATATAGAGTGGCATGTATTGGTTACAGTTAATGGATAAATATGCTGCCAATTGGTCTGTTTTATTAATCGCCATATCCGAGTGTGTTCTAATCGCTTGGATTTATGGTTCTCAGCGTTTTTTGAACGATATACAAGGTATGATTGGTAAACGTTCAAAGACATGGATCTGGTTTTGGTCTATAATGTGGCGTTTTATAACACCGGCTACTTTATTGGTAAGTTAAAACGATAAATAATATTAAAACTGTAGATTATACTATATATTAGACTATAGACTAGACTATAGATATGACTATAGACTAGACTATAGACTAGACTATAGACTAAACCATAGACTAGACTATAGACTAGACCATAGACTAGACTAGATTAGACTATAGACTAGACTAAACTATAGACTAGACTATAGACTAGACTATAGACTAAACTATAGACTAGACTATAGACTAGACTATAGACTAGACTATAGACTAGACTATAGACTAGACTATAGACTAGACTATAGACTAGACTATAGACTAGACTATAGACTAGACTATAGACTAGACTATAGACTAAACTATAGACTAGACTATAGACTAGACTATAGACTAGACTATAGACTAGACTAAACTAGACTAGACTAGACTATAGACTAGACTAAACTAGACTAGACTATAGACTAGACTAGACTATAGACTAGACTAGACTATAGACTAGACTAGACTATAGACTAGACTATAGACTAAACTATAGACTAGACTATAGACTAGACTATAGACTAGACTATGACTATAGACTATAGACTAGACTAAACTATAGACTAGACTATAGACTAGACCATAGACTAGACCATGGACTAGACCATAGACTAGACTATAGACTAGACTATAGACTAGACTATAGACTAGGCTATAGACTAGACTATAGACTAGATTATAGACTAGACCATAGACTAGACTATAGACTAGACTATAGAGTAGACTATAGACTAGACTATAGACTAGACTATAGACTAGACTATAGACTAGACTATAGACTAGACTAAAGACTAGACTATAGACTAGACTATAGACTAGACTATAGACTAGACCATAGACTAGACTATAGACTATACTATAGACTAGACTATAGACTAGACTATAGACTAGACTATAGACTAGACTATAGACTAGACTATAGACTAGACTATAGACTAGACTATAGACTAGACTATAGACTAGACTATAGACAAGACTATAGACTAGACTATAGACTAGACTATAGACTAGACTATAGACTAGACTATAGACTAGACTATAGACTAGACTATAGACTAGACTATAGACTAGACTATAGACTAGACTATAGACTAGACTATAGACTAGACTATAGACTAGACTATAGACTAGACTATAGACTAGACTATAGACTAGACTATAGACTAGACTATAGACTAGACTATAGACTAGACTATAGACCAGACTATAGACTAGACTATAGACTAGACTATAGACTAGACTATAGACTAGACTATAGACTAGATTAGACTATAGACTAGACTAAACTATAGACTAGACTAGACTAGACTATAGACTAGACTATAGACTAGACTATAGACTAGACTATAGACTAGACTATAGACTAGACTATAGACTAGACTATAGACTAGACTATAGACTAGACTATAGACTAGACTATAGACTAGACTATAGACTAGACTATAGACTAGACTATAGACTAGACTATAGACTAGACTATAGACTAGACTATAGACTAGACTATAGACTAGACTAGACTATACTAGACTAGACTAGACTATAGACTAGACTATAGACTAGACTATAGACTAGACTATAGACCAGACTATAGACTAGACTAGACTATAGACTAGACTATAGACTAGACTATAGACTAGACTATAGACTAGACTATAGACTAGACTATAGACTAGACTATGACTAGACTAGACTAGACTATAGACTGGACTCTATCTAGACTATAGGCTAGACTATAGACTATACTATAGACTAGACTATAGAATAGAATATAGACTAGACTATAGACTAGACTATAGACTAGACTATAGACTAGACTATAGACTATACTATAGACTAGACTATAGACTAGACTATAGACTAGACTATAGACTAGACTATAGACTAGACTATAGACTAGACTATAGACCAGGCTATAGACTAGACTATAGACTAGACTATAGACTAGACTATAGACTTGACTATAGACTAGACTATAGACTAGACTATAGACTAGACTATAGACTAGACTATAGACTAGACTATAGACTAGACTATAGACTAGACTATAGACTAGACTATAGACTAGACTATAGACTAGACTATAGACTAGACTATAGACTAGACTATAGACTAGACTATAGACTAGACTATAGACTAGACTATAGACTAGACTATAGACTAGACTATAGACTAGACTATAGACTAGACTATAGACTAGACTATAGACTAGACTATAGACTAGACTATAGACTAGACTATAGACTAGACTATAGACTAGACTATAGACTAGACTATAGACTAGACTATAGACTAGACTATAGACTAGACTATAGACTAGACTATAGACTAGACTATAGACTAGACTATAGACTAGACTATAGACTAGACTATAGACTAGACTATAGACTAGACTATAGACTAGACTATAGACTAGACTATAGACTAGACTATAGACTAGACTAGACTATAGACTAGACTATAGACTAGACTATAGACTAGACTATAGACTAGACTTTAGACTAGACTTTAGACTAGACTTTAGGCTAGACTATAGACTATACTATAGACTAGATTATAGACTAGACTATAGACTAGACTATATACAAGACTATAGACTAGACTATAGACTAGACTATAGACTAGACTATAGACTAGACTTTAGACTAGACTTTATACTATACTTCAGGCTAGACTATAGACTAGACTTTAGACTAGACTTTAGACTAGACTATAGACTAGACTTTAGACTAGACTTTAGACTAGATTATACATCCTTAACTATAGATCACTAAAATATTAACTATATATAGACGGAAGTCTAGACTATAGATTGAAGAAAAAGGATTAAAATTGGTTCCTCAAATTTATATATGTATTACTTTTCCTCTGTTATTTCAGTTCATATTGTTCTTCAATTGGGTGGAATACAAACCCGCTACTTATGGTCCCTACGTTTATCCCTTATGGGCCGATGCTGTCGGCTGGATAATTGGTCTATTACCTGTTCTAGTCATATTTTTGGTGGCTTTTAAGCAAATCTATAGTGGGCCCGCTCACTTAGGCATTAAAGATCGTATTGTTTATCTGCTAAAACCCACAGAAGAATGGGGTCCGGCGGGTAGACCCTGTTGTAATTTATATCCAGAACGTTATCAAAATGAAAATATGCATAGTTTAATGGAGGGCATAACCACAGAGGTAATACCCTATGACGATAATGCCGATACTTATGTAAGAGGTAGTAATGGCGGTAGTGGTGGTGGTGATGGCATTGCTGCTGGTGAAACACAAAAAGATATGATGCAACTCTGAGAGCGAGTTACTGCATCTACGTCTACGTTTGCGCCTAAGCAAGCTGGCGATCATGCTATTACCGCTACAGCTACTTCCAATATAAATGGCATGAGTGCGGCAGCAACTGGTGGGGAGGCCAAACTAGAAGCTAAAGGAAGCGTAAGTAAAAATTTTATATTTATTAATATTTAATTTCATATTTTACTATATTTGGATGATTAGAAAAACGATTACGCTGCTGTGGTGCCCATCAAAACAGCCACAGTTTCTTCGCGCCTGCCTGGTCCGAGTATATTAAAAGCTAGTAAACCGGCGGACAATGTTAAAGCACCCCCCGAGAAGAGTCCCAGCAAACAGCCTTTAATACAGGCCGAACTAAGACCCAATGATAGTGTAGTCTCTTTTCTCAATGAAAAGGCGGCTACATTAAAATCAAACGATTTTAATGATAAAATAACCAAAGTAACTGCCACTATAGTGTTGCCCACTAGTACTGGGCCCTGCACAACAACTACCAATACACAACAATCTAAAACTGTTACAACCACAACGACAGCGGCGGCAAAACGTGTTGTGGCGGGTACAGCCGAAAGTGGTCGGGAATTGAAGAGTTTAACCACTTTCGCTACCACCACAACTAAGCCCACGATCACAGATATAGTAAGTACAAAACCAGCTGTTAGCACAACTATGGCCAGCATTGCCAGTAGCAGCAGTAGTGTACCCACTAGCACTACTTTTGCGGTGACAATGTTGCCTTCTGTCACTACAACGGCTACAAAACCCACAGTCTCTTCTATAAGTAAACCAACTACAGCGGCGACAGCAACAGCTACAAAACCACAAACTTCGGCCAGCACTGCGACAAGTGTGGCCAACTGTATAACGAAACCAATGCCTACTTCCACAGCGTTTACAACAGCTCCAGCTACAAAATCAAATGTAGAAACTATAAATAAAACAATGGCTGCCATTAAAACGACAACTTCAGCTACATTAGCTACAGCAAATATTAAAACTACAACAATTGTAGTGAATAGTAATAATAACATGACTACAAGTACTGCAACAACTACGACAAATCAAACAACAATTACAGCTGCTACAGCTTATACTGCAACGTCACAAGTTAAGCCACAAACTGTGCAAACGGCAGCCTCTGTGACAGCAAAGCAACAAACTACAACTGCCGCGGAAGTCGCAAAACCATTAACAGCGTTTAGTTCTATTACATCTACAAAAACTAACGATGCCACCACCAAACCACAAACTCCTACAACAGCCACAGTAACTTCTTTATGTAAACCACAAACTCCAGTCACTAGCACTGCAGCAATAACTTCACAAACTTCTACAACAGCAGTCAAAACTCCCACCACTACTACCAAGCCACAAACACCCACAACAGTGGCAGTGTCTTCCTCACTAACTGCAACGACAAAGTCAGATTCAGCTGCAAAACTTACTACAACTACAAAACCACAAACTCATACTAGCAACACAACATCAGCAATCAATACCACAATTGCTACAACTTCTGCCACAAAACCACAACCCATAGCCAGCACAACAGCTGCAACATTAGCCACAAAACCACAAACTATAGCAGCTGTAACAAAACCTACTACTTTAACTACAAGTGTAGCAAAACCAACACTTTCAGCCACTACAGCTACAACTGTACAAAGTGTAGGAAAATCCAAAACAACTTCCACAGCAGCTGATACAGCTAACACTATACAAAGTGTAGTAAAAACCAACATACCATCCACAGCAGCTACAACTACAAAACCTTTAGTTTCAACCACGGCAACTACAACTATACAAAATGTAGGAAAATCTCCCACAACTAGCCCAGCAGCTATAACTACAAAACCTTTAACTTCAGCCACTTCAACCGTACAAACATCAGGCAAAACCCCCATAACTACAACTGCAAAAACTGTAGCAACAACTGCACAAAGTACAAGCAAAACTCCCATAACTTCTACAGTAACCACAACTACAAAACCCTTAACATCAACAATAACACAAGATAAAACACCAACACAAACTGCAAAACCTTTAGATACAACAACAATAAGTGTGACAACAACCACACAAAGTGCAGCAAAATCCCCCTTAGCTTCCACAGTAACCACAACTACAAAACCTTTAACATCAACAATACAACAAGATAAAACAACTATACAAACTTCAAAACCTTTAGCTGCAACTACATCATCATCCACCACCACTAACACTGCAGCCCCTATCAATGTGCCAACCACAAAAATTGCCAAAACTACTTTAGTTACCACAAATGAAAAACCCATTAGCTCAACTACCATACAAAAACCAACAATAAAACCAGCGACTACTACAATTCAAACAACCGCAGCTGCGCCTGCAACAGCTGCTGCAAAACTTCAAAGCACCACAGCAAGCACAACAACAACAACAAACACCTCAGCCTCAACCACAACAATAGCTAAAACTACAAAGTAGTTTTATTAACAATATAGTTGAAATTTAATAAATTACCTAATTACTTTAGCTGATAAAACAAAAATATTCGACACACCTAACGAAAGCGGTTGCAAATTTTGAAAGATTTATTTTATATTTTAACATTTCAACACGTGATTATTTGAGTTTAGACCTGATTTAAATGAAGTAGAAAAATTTTTAATGAAAAGAAATCTTATTTTCAAATAATTTTGTATAGTTTTTGTAAAGCCGAAATGAAATTTTTATAGTAAACGTTTTTTAAACTATTGAAGAGATACAGACTAAAATTTACACTATAATCCTGGCAGTAAGTAGTCCAGATTATAGTGTAAATTATAGACTATAGTCCACACTAAGATTGTCTGGTATTGAGTAAAATAAAAAAGATTTTAAATGCTATTTGTTTGATAATTTTATATTGATATCACTGACTGAATACTGAATAATGTCAAATGTTCAATATTTTTCTGGTAATTAATGAATCTTTTATACTTTGTAAAACATTGTTACTAAATTTACATTAACATTGTTCCTTTTATAAACTAATAAGTCAATTTATTTATATTTAAAACAAAAATAATTCTGAAGTATTTACTATTTGTTAAATTTCATTTTGAAATGCAATTTTTTACATATTCCATTAAGAATGAATGTCGGAGTGAAATGAAAAGGCAGGAGCTTATATACAACAGCTGTCCAAACTATAGATTAGACTATAGTCTAAACTATAGACTAGACTAGACTATAGTCAAAACTATAGATTAGACTATAGTCTAAACTATAGACTAGACTATAGTCTAAACTGTAGTCTAAACTATACACTAGACTATTGTCTAGACTAGACTATAGTCTACACTATAGACTAGAATATTGCCTATGTTATAGACTGGGCTATATCTAAACTGTTGACTAGAATATAAACTAGACTATAGTCTAAAATATAGACTAAAGTCCAAACTATAGAAAATACTATTATGTAAACTATAGACTTGACTTTTGTCTAATCTGTAGACTAGACTATAATCTATAGACTAAACTATAGACTACACTATAATCTAAACTATAGACCAAACTATAATTTGAACTATAGACCGGACTATAGTATAAACTATAGATTAGACTCTAGTCTGTAGAATAGACCATAATCAAAACTATAGCGTAGACTACAGTCTAAACTCTACACCTGACTAAAGTCTAAACTAGACTAGACTATAGTCAAAACTACTGTCTAAATTATAGACTATTCTATAGTCTAAACTATAGACTATACTAGATCTAAACTATAGAGTCTGAACTATAGACTAACCTAATCTTAATCTAAACTATAGACAACATTATAATCGAAACTATAAACCAGGCTATAGTCTTAACTGAAACTTGGCAATAGGCTAAACTATAGACTGGTCTATAGCCTACACTATAGAATAGGCTATAGTCTAAACTAAAGACTACACTATAGTTTAACTTATAGACTACACTGTAGTCTAAATTATAGTCCAAACTATAGACTACACTATAGTCTAAAGTAGTTTAGATTATAAACTATAGTTTATAGTCTTAACTATAGACTATAGTTTAAACTATAGACTAGACTATAGTCTAAACTATAGACTAGACTATAGTCTAACCTATAGACTAGTCTATAGTCTAGGTTTAGGTAAGAAGGGCAGCCACTCAATCAAACATGAGTGGCTCACATGGGTCCACCTAGTTGCGGTCCCGTTGTATAGTCTATGGTTTAGTCTGGTTTATAGTCTAAACTATAGACTAAACTATAGTCTAAACTATTGTCTAGTCTATAGTACAGACTATAATGTAGTCTATAGTTTAGACTATAGTTTAGTCTATAGTTTATACTATAAAAGTCTAGACTAGACTATTTTTGCACTATAGACTAGATAATAGTCTAAACAATAGACTAGACTATAGTCTAAACTATATACTACATTATAATCTAAAATATGGACTGACTATAGTTAAAACTATAGAATAGTCAATAGTTAAACTATGGACTAGTTGATAGTCTAAACTATAGACTAGACTATAGACTACATTATAGTCTTAACTATAGACTAGACTATAGTCTAAACTATAGACTAAACTATAGACTAGACTATAGTCTGAACTATAGAATAGACTATAGACTAAACTATAGACTAGACTACAGTCTAAACTATAGACTAAACTCTAGTCTAAACTTTTAACTATAAATTACACTATAGTTTAATATATAGACTACACTGGACTATATAGAGAACAATCTAAGCTATAAACTAGACTATAGTCTAAACTACAGACTAGACTATAATATATTATAAAGACCAGACTTTATTCTAACTATAAACTATAGTCTGAACTATAGACAAGACTATTGTCTGAACTATAGACTAGACTAAAGTCTAATTACACTATAGTTTAATATATAGACTACACTGGACTATAGAGAACAATCTAAGCTATAAACTAGACTATAGTCTAAACTACAGACTAGACTATAGTATATTATACAGACCAGACTTTATTCTAACTATAAACTATAGTCTGAACTATAGACAAGACTATTATCTGAACTATAAACTAGACTAAAGTCTGATTTATATACTAGACTATAATGAGAACTATAGTCTAAGCTATGGTCTATACTATTTGCTGGACATGACTATAATACGGATTTTAAGCTAGAATTTAGTCTAGGCTCTATTCTAGCTAATAATATTTTTAAAAAGCCAAGTTGCCAACTACATTTAACTAGATACACTGAAGGCAAATTAAATAATTACGTTTGTATTGCTATTTTTGGAATTGTTGGTCACTGGAAATATACATCAAGTTAAGTCAGGGATTGCAAATGTTTAGTTACTTTTAATTAAAACATTTTAGTTAAAATATAAATAATATATAAATTTTTAATAAAGCCTAGATAAATTATGAATAAAAAAATAATAATAAATAACTAACAACAAAACCAGTACCTTAATAAATAAAAAAATTTGGTTGCTTATAAGAGAAAAAAAAAATAAAAATTTTAAATTTTTGTTTGGTTTGGTTTTAGAATAATATTTAGTTGGCTTAGAATAATTAAATAAATTGTAAATAATAAAAATTTATAATATGAAATAATAAAATATATATGTATATGTTTTATAAATGTTTTTAGAGGTTAGTTAGTGTTATAGATAAAAAAGTATTAAAAATAAAAATAATTATTTTGAAAAGAAACCAAAAAAAAATTAAATATAATGTGATATTTTGTTTATTTTATAAAAATGTTTTGTGTTGTTAAGTTTTTTTTTTATAAAAAATATTTATAAATTGTTAAAAAAAATAGTTAAAATAATTATTTATATAAATTAATTTAGAAAAAAAATATTGAAAAAAAACCCTATATAAATAATAAATGTGATGAATGTTGTCTTTTTTAGTGTTTAGTCCTAGATACGTACCTATATATACACCTACCTATATTATAATAGAGAAAAAGAAAACCTAACCTATATTTATATAAAATATAAAAAATGAAAAGGAAAACACCTCTATAGGAGGTTAATATTATAAACAAAAACTTAACTAAGTACCTTTGATGTTGAATGTGTAGTTGTTTAGCAAATAAATAGTTAAATAGTTATTATTAAAAAAATATATATTCTAATTTTGTTTATTTTCTTTAATTTTATTTATAATTATTATGTTTCTTTATAATAAATAAAATAATGGCTGTTAAGATTAGATAAATAATTATTAAAAAAAAAAAAACTAAATATATACAAATACATTTATGGTATTTTAATGTTAAGATATAAAATTTTTATTTATATAAAATTTAAAAATAAATATTAAAACACCACAAATCAAAATATTCAAAACAAATATCAATAATGCCAAAACCAAAAAAAAAACTATAAACTTAATTATTTATAATTAAAAAATTAAAAACACTTTTTAAACACAGTCAATTCCATTTTATGTTAAAAAAACACTTCATTATTAAGTTACTTATTTAATTTCATTTATTAACTTAAAATTAACAATTAGTTAAAACAAAGCACGAGCTTGTCTTTAGCATTAGTCTGTAGTAGTTGAAAATATATTTTATATATTATTAATAAAATATAAACAAAATATATAAAATTTAAATACAAAAAAAAAACTCCTATAAAATTATACTCATATCTACTATAATGATAAAGAAAAAAGAACACTATACTTTACCCACCTTTTATATGGTTATTATATTAGAAAATTTATAAAAACAATATATAATAAAACAAATTTTGTGTTTGTTTGTGTTTTGTTATTTCACAAAATAACTAGTTTTATATAAAACAAATCTCCCCCCTAATAAGTTTATTTGCAAACATTTTAGTAATGTTTCTAAATCCTTAGCGAATACTGTATTTATTTTAAGTCAATGTTACCCTATATGTTTAAATAAAAGAGATTTCTTTTGGCAGCGAGAAAAATTTGAATAAAATAAAGGCAATAGACTATAGACTAGTCTTTAAAGTAAACTACATATTCAAAACTATAAAGAATAAACTATAGGCAAGACTACAGACTATACTAGAAACTATGAACTACTTAAACTATAGAAAAGCCTATAGACTAAAAACTAGACCATAGACTACAATATAGACTATATTATAAAATAGTCTACAAACTAGCCTATGGACAATGCTACAAACTAGAATATAGTCTCGAATTTAGCCTATATTGTAGTATATACACTATAGACTAGACAATGGACTAGACTTAGACAAGTCTATAGACTAACCTATATACTAAACTATAGACTACACTATATATATAGAATATAGACTACACACAAGACCACAGAGTAGACTTAGACTAGACCATTGACTAGTTTATAGACTAGAATATAGAATAGACTATAGGCTAAACTAAAGATAAAACTATAAACCAGACTATAAGCTAGCCAATAGACTTTAATCTAGTCTATACACCAGACAATGGCTTAGACTATAGAATAGACTATGAACTAGACTATAGAATAGACTGTAGACTAGACTATACTATAGACTAGACAATGGAATGGAATAGTCTAAACTATAGACTCGCCTATAAACTAGGTTACAGACTAGTATATAGAATATAAACTAGAATATTGACTAGACTAGACTATACATTAGACTTAAAACTAAACTTTAAACTAGCATATATACTAGACCACAGACTAGACTACACACTAGACAACATGCCAGACTAAAGACTAGACTACAGACTATACTATAGACTTGACTATTGACTTAGATATGGGCTAGACTAAAAAATAAACTATATAAGACTATAGACTAAACTATAGACTGGACTATAGACTAGCCTATAGACTAAACTATAGACTAAATTATAGACTGGACTATAGACTAGACTATAGACTAGACTATAGACTAGACTATAGCCTAGACTAGACTATAGACTAGACTCTAGACTAGACTCTAGACTAGACTCTAGCCTAGACTAGACTATAGACTAGACTATAGCCTAGACTAGACTATAGACTAGACTATAGCCTAGACTAGACTATAGACTAGACTATAGCCTAGACTAGACCATAGACTAGACTAGACTATAGACTAGACTATAGCCTAGACTAGACCATAGACTAGACTATAGACTAGACTATAGACTAGACTATAGACTAGACTATAGACTAGACTATAGACTAGACTATAGACTAGACTATAGACTAGACTATAGACTAGACTATAGACTAGACTATAGACTAGACTAATAGACTAGACTATAGACTAGACTATAGACTAGACTATAGAC